TAGGGAGCTTAAGCAACGACGACGCGGACGGCAACGAGAACGGCAAAAAAGCAATAGGTTTGATTAGCAAAACAACAACTTTGCACGTGCATCACGCTTTTTTTGTACATTTCTTTGCCGTCGTTGCCCGACTACAGCGTGAAAGTGCCTGAATTCACGTTTTGTCGAGGACGGGAACACAAGACAACAACCTTCTTTTCTTTTTCCTGAACTTTGATACAGTCCTTTAGAATTTAACTCCAAAGACATTTGCCAACATTTGACGAAGTAAACGAGATGGAATAAGCGCGATAAAGTTTGATGCGGTGCGAATTCACTTTTTAAGTGACGTTTTTGTAGCCGTCGCCGTCGTTGTTGCTTAAGCTCCCTAATAACAGCCTAGTGCGCACGAGCAAGCTCTCCATTTCTGGTGAGCGTAGTAAGACCCAAGTCACGAGGGGTGGAGAAGAAGGCGACTTTCTTCCTCTCCCTTTCGCTCTTCCGTCTCCCCGGCAAATGGAGAGTTTGCTGGCAGGCTATTAAAAAGAGTGTCAACGTTTTTGGACGAATAAGTGTTAATTGCTGGATTGTTTTTTATGTGATGGTAGCCATGGGAGAAGTGCCACACCTAGACTCAAATGCATACTTATTTTCAAAAAGGAGAAAGGACAAAGTCTCATTAAAACAACACAGATTGCAGTCTGCATATTGGCAGCCGTTGCTTGTACAATGGAACCTCCATACAACGAATTTCTATAATAACGAAGTTCTCGGTACACCGAACGACATTCTTTCCCAGTACATGTAACAGTAAAAAATATAGAAAATAACCAAGACATAACGAAACCCCGTTAATCCCTTCGTCATATTAAGGTACCGCTGTATCCAGAGAGGACAAGAGGCCAGCATCATCCAAAAATATGCCTGCATTTTTCTGATTTATTTGGAAAATGAAGAGGAAAGCCAGTCAACCAATCAACTCCCTGGAATGAGCGAGCAAGGGAGCCGTATCCAAATGTGGCACTCAGCGATCAAAGGAAGATGGACCTGAAAGTCCCTGCTTGGCACCCCTGTACATGCATTGCCACTTTGGGTGTCCTATGTAGGTGCACCTACTTTTTAATCACTTCTGATGATTTACAAGTGCACATAAAAAAATATGGGCCTCGGCGCAAGTTCTCTTGCACATGCCTGAAGGCGTGCAGGAAATACATCTTAATAAATAAATTATACACAGAGAAAGTGATATAATTAAACCCATCTGGACAAATCTGACAATTTTAAGCAAGACTATCAAATGCACTGTCCTAACAATTTCCTAATTTTTATGGCAAGTACAAAACACAGGTCACGGGTCACAAGTCAGGTTAGAGTACAGCACACAGTGCTACGGTAAATAAACAAAACTAAAAGTATCTCCTAGCCCTAATAACAATCCGAAATAGAGTTTTACTTGAAGGGGAAACTACGTCTCTCAGTTATTTACCAGTACAGCGATGAACTGCACTTGTGATCTGTGTTTTGTACCTGCCAAGTTTTTTTTATAATAATAATATTATATACATTAACTTCACCAGCAAACAAACAATAATTCCTAACATGAAAATGTTTAACGTATCAAGAGTCCAGTTATCTTAAAGTAAGCTGAAAAAAAAAAGAAAAAAAAAATGGATGTCCTCAAGTACAAACATCAGGCAAAGTTTTCCCACAATCTTAGGTTACAAACTTAGCCATCATAGTTGCAAACAGTGAGCTTGCTCCTGCATCAAGGAATCCTAAATTGTTTAGGTGTAACCCCGCTGTTGTCCTTAAAATGAATAAGATGGATAATCTCCACACATTTTAAGGCGCTACAACAGCAGGGTTTAACCTCAGCAACCAGCTGCAGAGACATCAGCACCAGAGCTCTTTGTTTTTCCTAGTGTTGTGAAAATCTGCAAGTGCAAGGAAAAGAAAAAAAAAGATAGTCACACGCCTATTACAGAAAACGTGTATTAACTCCAGTGCCGGATCCAAACATTGAGATAGGGGCAGAGGGGGTAGGGGGGGGGGGGGGGGCGGTATTCAAAGGCTTTAGGTAATGGGGGGGGGGGGGGGGTGGTCCAAAATACAGTTTTTTGGGGTTTTGGCTGTTATGTGTGGTTAAAAAATAGGGGGGGGGGTGGTGGGGGCGCTGGGGCGCGGCCGCGTGTCACTCCCCGTAT